CATGCTGGCTTATGCATTAAACTGACTTTATTTTGTGAATTTCGATATTTTTCTTAATAAAATAATAATTATAAAAATCAGTTGGTCTCTTGAACAGTGGAGCTGTCTTAATATTACCCTGAGGGGGAATTATAGGGCCACATTTTGCTACTGAGTCCTACCTAGACTGAACAGAGTAAGTCTACTGACTACATAGCTCATGTGTCTTTCTTTTTTGGAATTTCCTAAGTTTGCTGAAGTATCTTTTTAGGGCAGATTTGTAAGCAGAAGTGTTGGGGCAGCCCTCGGTTGAAGTTGCCAGGACTCGACTCAGCCTAATGAGGGAGCACAAGCTTCTAATTACTCTCTGTCTGACCGGTCAAGCATCCTCTAGGGGAACTGATCGCTGACAGTGGCCAGGCACGCCTTCCTTCAGCTGCAGAAATTATACCAGCTACAGCCCTACCTGGATGAGCAGAGTCCCACGACAGTTACACACGCACTGGTAACATCTCGCATAGATTACTGCAATGCGCTCTACGTGGGGCTGCCTTTGAAGACGGTCCAGGGACTGCAACTGGTCCAGAATCGAGCTGTGCGGCTGGTGAGTGGTGGGGCCACTAGGGAACACATCGAGCCAATTCTATTTAAATTACATTGGCTACCAGTTGCTGCCCGGGCCCAATTCGAAGTGCTTGTTTTGACATATAAAGCCCTAAACGGCTTGGGCCCTGGATACCTGAAGGACCGCCTCCTTCTATATGAGCCTACCTGGCAGTTAAGATCTAGCCAGGGGGCCCTTTTGAAAGAGCCATCCCTCAAAGAGGTAAGAGGGATGGCTTGTAGACAAAGGCCTTTTCAGCAGCTGCCCCCAGACTATAGAACGCCCTCCCAATTGAGATTCGTCTGGCGCCGATGCTGATGACATTTCAGTGCCAGGTCAAAACCTTCTTGTTCCAGAAGGCTTCTAATTGAAATAATGTCAACTGTGGTTCCTGATGGCAATTTTTAGAGTATATATTTTAATAGTCTTTCTTTTTATTGTATTTTAATTGTTGTAAGCTGCCCAGAGACCTTTGGGTAGTGTGGGCAGCATACAAGTTAAATAAATAAAATAAATAATAAATAAAATAAATAAACACAATGAGAACATCAACATATTTTCTTGGGTCATCTTTAACACATAGGTAGCATCCCTCTGCATTTCATACACACTGTGAAGAAAAGCAATCTTAATATTTTTTTTCTGTACTTAAAAAGATTCAGATCACTTTTAAAGGTGAAAAAAATATAAGAGAGAAATAACAGACTTGCTATAACTACTACCAATTGGTAACTGCAGCCTTTTCAAGCCTTTAAATTCATAGGGTTCCCTGTATATCTCTTTACATTTTAGAACTGGGAATGGGAAAGCCTCGCCCTCACATGTATCACTATTATGGTCACTGCCTGGATAGCAAAAGTTTGTGTTTGCGACTCAGTTATAACAGAAAAATCTGTTTTCTGTTTACCAAGGAGGGTTACAAAACTGAGGCTTAAATCAGACAGGGAAAAAAATTCTGATGGGGAACCTAGCTTTTGAGGAGACACAGCTTCAGTTTATTGTAGATTGGGCTACAGTGTGCTTGAAAAATCTGGTTTGTAACCTGGATGGTTCTTTTTGGTTGGACTGGCTTCGCGCTTAGTTCTGGCAAGTCATGGTAATATGAGCTTTGGTTATACCAGATTTGAACTACAATAACAAACTTGGTGTGGGATAGTTTTTAAGAATATCCTGAAGATATATGGGTGGGTTGGGCCAGAATGTAGATATACGACTATTCACACACAGAAGTGTGGCATGTTATATCAAATTTAAGTAGCCATATGGAGTATCAATACATTCCCAAGCATATTTCAACATGCTAGCTGTTACACAGATCTCTGGATTCTTAAGCCATGGGAATCTAAAAGATGGCATCGTGCTACACCAAGGACAAAAAACCTATGACCTCCAGTATGTTACTGGACTGTAACTCCCATCAGTTACACCCAGCAAGGCCAATAATGAAGGCTGGTGGGAGTTGCCATCTAACAACCTCAAGGAGCATAGGCTGCTCACCCCAGTCCAGACCATTCTCTTCGGGCAAGTTTTCCCTCAGTGAATGACTGCCAGAGTGGGGTGTTTAAATGGATGGGTGTGCCTTACTGTTTTAAATGTGTCTTTGGTATTGCCTTAAAAACAAACAAACAAACAGTGTTTTAGTGTGGTATTTTACCCTTTTTAGCACTTGTAGATATATTTTTAGCTTATTTTTGTAAGCTACCTTGGGCTCTTTTTAAGGAGAAAGGCAAGGTAAACATATTTTAAATAAAACAATAATTTAAAAAATACGGACTTCCTGTCATGGGTAGGCATTAGATTTAATATAAATGAAGCAGCACACCACATGGAATACCTATAGATACAGTTTATCATATACCATAAAAACATAGGCATGTCCTGCAGAATTAAATACAGATCTATCTCAGTAGATTTAAGCAAACATTTAAAACATTCTTATTTCAACCTCTTCTTAATTAAAACTCCTGTGTGCTAAGATTTATTTTTTTATTTATTCTGATACTGCTTTTAATTTTGTAATTAAAATACTGTAGTTTAATGTGCATTTTTAAATAGTTGCCCTATTATTTTACTCATTTTATGCAAGTCATTTTGGGATTTTACTTGTGAAGTATATTGGCTAAATACTGGAAAAGAATATTGGAGAAAAAAAATTATAAACATAAAGGAGATAATCCCTTGCAGACACTGTTCTTATTAAACAGTAAACCCTCAATAACAGGTTAGTGGCCATGTTCAAGTGTGCACAGTCATGCAGTAATCTTTGGCCCTCCAGAATTCTGGTCTACAGCTCTCATCAGCCTCACCTAGCAGAATGATGGGAACTGTAGTCTGAAACACTTGAGAGGATCAGAGCTTCCTCACTGCTTCTTTGTCCCAAATTTATAGGACACTTAAGACATAGCCATACAATGCTTTGGCATCACATCATCCAGCCAATATCAGGAGCCCTTACTCTGTAGAGACATTTCTCCTCATGATTTTTTTAGCACTTGCTCCCTGATGCACGTACAATTTATCAACAAGCCCTGAAATATCACTCTTGAAAAATGACATGGCTGCCCCTATGACAACTGGCATACTGCCTCCTTAGTTTTAAGAAGAAAACAGTTCTTGGTGTGCCACATGTTCAGACTGCTTCATCTGTATTTAATGACTCTAACCTTAAAATATGCATATATCCATTAAGTGACTAGTTCAGTCTCTGACTTATTAGCAACTGTCTCTCTTGAAGCAAAATGGTATGTACAGCTTCTTAGTGTTCTAGCTATTCTACCAGGAAGAGGAAATTCATGTTCCATTGAATTTCTCCTCTGTACTTTTTGGCGTAGGCTTTAATCAGAGGGATGTCTACGTTCACATTAAATTGCTAAATTATGATTAATTGCTTTCATTTAGGAAACACTGAAAAACATCTTACCTCAATGGAAGACTGAGAGCTAGCGGGTAATGGGAAAGGAGCCACAGCCATCTGGTTAAATGCATCATCATTACTGAGAAACAAAGAAGAGAGAGATATTAGACAAGCTGCAAAATATCTACTTAAATGCCATTTTTTTTCTTAAAAAAAAAATTTTATTACATGTATAACCATATTTCCTGCTACAGGCTTCAGAGGGGATTCCCTAGTGGTTGCTCATTTAATGCAATAACCAGTTTCTATCCTGCTTCATTTAAGCAAGATTGCCTTGTAATGTGGCATCAGTGCAATAAAGGACTAAACCCAGACAAAAACATAAGGGATTTAGAAAGCCAGACTAAAGGATGTACAGTATTATTGTTCCTTTATTCAGCTTAGTGATGAAAAGGTCAAGAGTAGCACTAACTGCAGCCCATTCTCACAACTTCAATTGCATGCAATCAAGGCTAGCTGGATAGCTTTTGGTATCTGGGTGCAGAGCCAGAGGTTAGGAGTTCAGCTCCCCACCATGCATCCCAGAAGAGTCAGTCTGTGTGGCCGTGGGCAACCTGCACAGCCCCAGGACGCCTCCAGGGGAAGGGAATGTTAAATCATTTCTGACTACTCTCTATCGCGAAAACTCTGAAAAGGGTCACCATAAGTTGGAACTGACTTGACAGCACAAAAGCTGGCTGGATAGATCCGTAGTTTAGGTATCTGGCTGTGGAGCCAGAAGTTAGGAGTTCAATTCCCCACTGTGCCTCCTGAGAGAAAAGCCAGCCTATGTAGTCAGGTTGCCCCCAGAAGAAGGGTATGGTATATAACTTCTGAGTATTATCTACCTAGAAAACTCTGGAACGAGTCACTGCAAGTTGGAACCAACTTGATGGCACTCAATTATTATTATGACACATTAACAGTATGACTAGAGTCTTGTCCCCGTGATGCTGCCATCATATTGTCAACCCTATATGTTTCCAGAATCCATCCCAAATGTACCTGATCCATGCTACTGCTAAAGATAAGTTTCAAGTAGTTTTCAATGTTGCTTGCTGCTGTAGTTTTTATAAGGCAGGCTGTGTTCTGATCAATTTTTGTGTTATGGGACTATTAATGCTATACCAATGTTGAAATATTAAAATATTGTTACATAGCACCTTGGTAATTGGAAATAATGCCCAAGGTCATGGTAGAATACACCCTCCTGTCCAACACGTCCATCTCTATTGTTTGGTGTGGTGTTGTGATGCCTCTTTGAGAAGCCTCCACAATGACCGAATTTGGTTGTGGATGCTTGAGAAGAAATATAGCCTCTTTATCATGGATTTTGTATAAATTTCCCAGGCATGTCAAGGTGCGTTGAGAGGTAGACAGTTTATTCCATGATTTCTTGACCAGACTGAGCAAAGATGGTAACATGCTGATGTGGACACTGTCTGAATCAGAAGCAGTAGAATGAGAATCCTCATTGATTATTGAATATTCATTTTCCATGGTGCACTTTGAGGCCTTGTAATGCTTCTCAGATGTAGAAGCAGCTATGGTAAATGGACTCTTTTTTGCCAGTTTTTGTTACTTGGTTTGGCGGTAGGCGAAACTTGAGTCGCATCCTCATGTGCTGTAGGTTGCTTTGATATGTCATAATTGTGAAAGTCCCTAGTTGACTGTGATTTGGGGCTGAAGCAGAAGGACCGGTGGGCCTTGTCTGCCTGTTTTTGATGTCTTTGATTCCAAAGCCAAAAGCAAAGATCCATTTTGGGATGCAGTTCACCATCAACACGGAACTGCTAAAACCACTGGTTCCTAACCTTGGGTAATCCAGGTGTTCTTGGACTACAACTCCCAGAAACCCTAGCCAGCACAACTAGTGGTGAAGACTTCTTGGATTTACAGTCCAAGAACAGCTGGGTTACCCAAGGTTGGGAACTACCAGCTTAAGTGATAAGAGGTTATGTTGGTGACTGTGCTTATGCATAGCCGACATAGTGAATGAATTGGAAGCCAAGAACAAACCAGGCCATTCCCCTTCCTTCTGTTCCAAAACTCTTGATGCCAAGGTACATTCTCAAGCTTGTGCCATTTGCTTAAGGCTTTACATACAACACCGTGAAAAGATTTCCTGTTCTCCATCAGGTGGTGACTTTGAACCTAACTGAACCTGTTCATAAGGAACTAGAAGCTTAGGAGGTCAGTCTTTCCAATTCTGTGCGGGTGGCCTTGATTCCAAGTGCTCCTGCTCCATTGTATTTGATATGGGGTGTCCATACTTCTATTTCAGTGATCTCAATGCCTTGCTTCTATACTAGTACAATATGGGGACTGGAATGGCATATCCCTGAGAGCCAGGATGTTATGTCTCTGTGCATTCTAGGGAAATGGAAGAATGGTGGAGGAAAATGCCATTCCCATCTTCGGTATGGCCCTGGATAGAATTAGGCATTGCACATAGCAATATGGTAAATAACCACTTGACTTCAACATGATAGCTTCTTGCTAGTGATGGGTTTTGTGGAGGCTCTTTCAATAGGGATGGGACACTTCATTCTCTTACTGTTGAAACAGGCTCTGGAGATTACTCATATGATCACTCCCAACCTACAAGTAGTTCTTCTGGTTGTGAGGTCCTCTGTGGTGGAGAAAGCTGACTCAGGGTTTGTTGGGTAAGCTGACTCCATTCTGGAGACTGATTAAATGCTGGTGACAATGTCTGAATTTGGGACATCTCCTCCTCTGAGGTTGAATCGAGGCATACAAGTTCACCACCTTTTGCAGGATGGTGGCGGTGGAATCTGGCTACCTGAGGTTCCTTAGATATCTTTGAAGCCAAAGGCTGTTCTTTACGTGCTTTCGATTTATGTTTCTACTTCAGCTTTTCAAAGTAGAAGTTGGATCTGAGTCAGTGGATTTATTTATTTTCTAAGAAATCTACGTTTATGTCATTCTTGATATGGACACCAATGTTGCTTTCAAAGAAGTAGATTTTGAAGTTGAAAATGCCCTCAAGGCCGCCAGTTCATTGTTGGTATTGAGAGATGGTAACTGCTCCGTCTCAGCCTCTGTTGGTCTCTGATTGTTCGGAGTCTTGGTGGTGGGTTCGAGTTTGAGTGCTCCCATGATGGTTTGCTTAAAGGGTGTCTTACAAACAGACACTGATGGAACTGAGCAAACCAAGTCTGTGTTTGGTGTCCCTCACTGAGGCAGGATAGGGTTAGAGCTAAAGTCAACTGTCGGTGATGGGAATTTTGTTGCTGCATGAAATTAACTTTTTAAATGGCCCTACTAGGGCCATCAAAGGCAGGAAAGCCTTAGACTGGTGAACAGTAATGGAAAGTCGTAGAACAACAAAGGTGGGAATGACAAACAGTAAGAAAACTCCCCCCCCCTTTTAGGGAACTTATAGGCAAGGGAGGAAGGATGATGACAAGGGAGATGACAACAACAAAAGGTAAGGTTTCTGAGGATTTCAAAAGCATAAAGGAAAAATTAGCTCCACTGAAAGGACTTAGGAGTTTCTTCAGCAGTGGCTAAAGGGAACTGAGGGATACTCACTAGGTGCAGGGATATGTGCAGTGGGAGAGGGCTCTAATGGACTTCTGTTTAAGCTGTAGAATGTCCTAATGAGTTTTGCACTGGCACAGAACCACTCACATCTGATTCAAAAAGACCACAAAGGAGGTGGACTTCAAACAGCTGTATCTTCTTTTCCAGTAGGTCTACCAGCTTGTACTTGCTGCAGGTGCTGCCTCCTACATCTTTCTGTAGAAAGTCAGATATGCCACGCATGCTGCAGGTTATTACAGCTGTTCCTTCAATTTCCATGTCTCTCCTGTTACACAGACTAGGAATCAGCAGCACTCATGGCCTCCCCTAAACTCCCCCACTAAATGTTCATCCAAAAGTCTCTGTCCACTCTCCATGTTCATAAGCTTCTGCTTACATGTTCCTTGGGACTCAAAGTCCAGCTGCAACTACAGCTGACATCCTCTTGTGTAGCTACATAAACGGCATAATTTTAGAGGGAAATTGTCCTAAGTTAAGGAATTGCTGCACACATAAACAGAAGCACACTGAGTCACACAACTTAGTATGCAACAGATAATAGCTGCAGTAAGTTCCTAAGACAAATCTCCTTCAAATGTTTTGCCACCTGTGATATACTAGAGTAATTAGGCAAGAAGAGTTGGTTCTGTAGGTGCTAGAGTTTGAACTCAGATCTTCTACCTTCAAAGCAGGAGCTCTGCTACTGAACTACAGCAATTATACAGGAGGTGGACATTAACCGAGTGCTTAAATTTTTTTTATGAGAAACAGAAAGGCAGGAAATCTAGAATCTAGTGAAGAATGAACATGATCTCAAATAAATTCAGGCCTGTTAGGGCAATTAAGAGACAGACAGGTAAGGGGACTGAGAGGTGGCCTGGAAGTGTACTTCTTATTCGCAGAAAAAAAAATAATTGATTAACAGAGAGGTGGATTCTCAGTAAATGCTTCAAGTACTTCCTATACAACAATTTTTTTTGGCTTAAGGGCTCTGAATAACCAACCATGAATTGTACAATAAGGTTTGATTACATTAGGCAAATACCAACCGACCGACCGATCGGCCATTTGTTATAGAGTCTGAAGATGTCTCGCTCTAGCTTAGTAATAGTTAAATCACTCCCTCATCCTCTTCAGCAAATGACCTCAAAGCATGAAATGTTAGACTGCTTTGTTCTGGTTACTATGCTTTTATTTAGCTTCCTATTTCCAGAGAAAACAAAGTGAAATGGTTTCAGTCAAGGTTTTTTGAGGGGAAAGAGCATCCAACTTCTTTTGGAAAAATATTGCCAGGTCAAATAAGAAAATATTGGGTTATGTGAACACACATTCAGACCCAGGCAGAAGTTCCCATGTTATGCTTAAAATCATCAGTATTAAATTTAATGGCTGTATCATGACTGGACAAATGTTTCTTTTCAATTGAGCTAACCATGCTACTGATTATATTCCCACATGAGAGAGTTGGTGAACATATTAACATTAGAGATAGCGGTATTCGTATTCTTATACAAATACGAATATCCCCACTCATGTGGAAATAATGAGGGTCCAGTCCTATGGGGCCGGACTGTCTTCTCACCATTCTGCCATGGATGCCAGCTCGATGGAGCTGTTGTCCGCAATAGATTAGCCACTCTTGCCAGGAGGTGGGATGACAAGCCTCTCTGTCAGATCGCAGAGTGGCTAATCCATTGCGGATAACAGTGCGATAGGAAGGCTCCATCAAGCTGGCGTCAGCGGTGGAATGGTGAGTGGACAGTCCGACCCTATGGGGCTGGACCCTCATTATTGCCACCTGTGGGGGGATATTTGTATACGAATACCCCTTCTCTAATTAACATCAATATGTATTAATGTGTTCCATAGAAGTTGTCACTATTTACAGCCTTCCTTATATCTTCAGCCTCTTATTTTCTTCAAAGCTTTACAGGCCAGCATGTGGAAATTACTAACTTGGACTGCAAGGACTGAGGGTATCAAGCCATGCATTCAGAAATACACAAGAGATATCTAAAAGGCAAATGCAGTATCAAAGGATGCATGATATTCACTTGTCCTTCAGTTTCCAAGCACCTTCCCCTCAAACACTATAACATGTTAAACAGCAATTTTCTGGCTCATTTTGTTTTCCCAAGCATACAAACCAATTATTATGTAGCTCTTACTGATGAGAATTAATCAGCATATCTAAAAGCTCCATAACCTCTAGTAATTTCTGTCTGGTGCCAATTTAGGGACTGCCAGTTGTTGGTTGCTTGAAAAATAATAATGAAACAACTAATCAGCACAAATACGTAGTAAGGAAATCAGCATAAAGTACTCCCAGCTTTTGACACAGCTTGTAATGAAAAGATCTGAAAGCCAAACCATACCTTCAGATATCCAGTAACTTATCCAAGTTTTTATTGGGGCAATGAGGGGATTTGTAGCTTTATAGACTCCCTTGCTGAAACACTCCCTCCCCTCATGCAAGAGAAACCTGGCAGGAGGCTCCTTTCAGTGGAAACACTTTCATGTGGGTGAGGGGAAAACAAGATATGATAGTAGCACCCCTTCACTGTAATGTATAGACCAGCCCCTTGAGACATTATATGAAGCAAAGGGAGAGAAATGCAATGTGATGACATGACAGGATACAAACCCTACATAGTACTGCTGTTTTCAGCAGGAGCCCCACGTCAAGCACAATGCTGGAATTCTACCTTATTTTGCTCTTTGCACCACTGAACCAGCTATTTTCCCCTATCCTTGGTGACAGAAAGGGGAAAAAAACTATTCTGCCCTATGGTCTCACAGCACTATGCATGGTCTTGCAGGGTAGAGAGTCACCAAATGTGCTAACAAATTGTAACAACAGTAAATGTGGCAGCTGCTGAATTTTTGTAGTAACTGTGTTGGCAGCAGCAAATTCAGTGGATGTACAGGCCCTTCAGATTCCAGAATATCCCATGTTCTCCCCATGTGTGACTCCAGGGATCTGCTCACCCTGAAGTAAATGAGCGTTATTATCTAGAAATTACCCACCCAAAACAGTGGGGTTCAGTGAAGGATTTTTCAGCAGACTTCTCACCGTCATCTCTGTTAGGCATGCTGGAACCTGGTCTTGTTGGAAAGAAGCACTTACTTTAAACAGGTGCATAGAGAAACATTTCGGGATATGGAAATCACCATTAAAAAAAATTAAGCAGAAATGCAAACACTTTCTATCCAACATGACTAAATGGGTAAGGAATGGTGTACTGCACTGCAGTATAACAAGATATCATTCTTGCATATATATTTTGCTACAGTCTGAATAGCTTTCCCTAGGCAGATTTTGCACTGTAATTAAGTAATGGAGAGTGAGCTGTTGTACATGACATTTAATTTTCAGTAGCTGGGAAGAGTAAGAGGGGGCTAGAATCAAGATCATTAATCTCTTCTGGATGCCAATGATAGCAACTAATTCTTCATTTTACTAGCTCTGCTCTTCTACCACAGTCGCATGTGGATTAATTTAGACTTCTATATTCTGAAAGGTATCTACAGACAAATTTTTTACTTAGGGACACATCATGGATTATGTAACATATAGATTAGTTGTTTATTACATTTTTTTGGAGTACCAAACCCTTGGCGGCAGTAGTAGACTCTGCAGCTTTCCTCTTCCATTGTTTTTCTCCTGAACAGAAAATACTACAGGTGTAGGACATTTAATTTTTCTTATGCAACTGGGAGAGGTGGAATCTCTAACTCTAGCTAAAAGTCATGCATACCATGCAGAATATCAAAGATAAACAAACATTTGCATGTATCCAATGACTTTGCTGGAGTTTGTAGGTTTGCAAAATATGAGGCTGTCGTATGGGTCACGACATCACTTAAAATCATAACATTAGCTAAGCAGGGAATAGAGTTAACAGGCAGCTGGGATGGTCATAGGCACACTAAACCTTTATTTGCCTGAAGAGGAAATTATGTCATAATATCTTGCCAGGAAGTGAATCTGAAGAAGTGATAGCCCTTTTAATGATAAAATAAAAAAACTCATTTCCCTGTTAAATTCTTGTGACTTAACTCTACCGGGCTTATTTCAAGTCTCACTTGAAAACCCAAGAAATACTTTTCAAGACAGGAGTGTGAAAATGTATACTCTTTCAAAGTAGTATTAAAATATTTCAGAATACTTTATATAAGCATTTCCATACCAGATTTATTTTACTATCTGAGAATGCTCATCACATGACAAGGGGAAGTACTTCAGTTCCACCTTCCTCCATCTCTGATATCATTCTGAACAGGTAGAAGTGATCAATCTGACCAGGACAATCTCCACTAGCTGTGGGGTTCTCTGCAAAATATATGGGCTGTGATCTATGTGGAGAAGGTTCTCCTTGCCACTCTTCAGGTGACAGAAATGATGACAGAGAAGGTGGGGATAGAGCATATCCTTCTACACATGGCAAGTGTTTCAAAATACTAATGACTACACAGGGGTAACTTTTACAGTACATCTACAAGCTGGGTCAATATTAATGTTCCTTTAATACTGAAGGCTAAGGCAAGACATGAACCAGAGATCTGCATGATCATAGCTCGTGTTGAATCTAATGTTCTTTGAATATTTTGGACATCATCTCTCCCACGAGTCCTCATGAATGGCCATGTTCAGTGGGGTTGAGGAGATTTGCTGTGCAAAACCTGAGAATGATATTAAGTTGGAGGAGACTGCAGTAAATTATATCAGTTCCTACTAAGTCTAGCCTGACTGTGGAGAAATTGAAGCAGATGCTTAATCTTGGAGGTAGATAACTATCCAGTTAAAGTAAGCCGTCTACCTGCTTGCCTTCTGTAATCTGTTGTGTGTCCTGCCAAACCTCACCTATCTTCGCTTGTCCTGTTCACCACACTATTTAGTCTCACCTCAGAGGTCAATTTCATTCTCTAGACTTCTTTAAAATCTTCCATCAATCTCCAAATTATGTTCCAAGAAAACCTTATTGCCTACCTTTGCCCAATAACATGGGGTCTTGGTGGTGTTGCACACGTAAGTTATCCCAGCTGTGAGATGAACTATTTTCCTATCAGCGAAGGTATGTTTTTAAAACAAAGGATTGTCCTCCCTGTGTTCTCCTCTCATGGAGTCAATTACCGTAGCTTGTCAGTTAAGAATCCTTTTAAAGACTGCAGCAAAGTCTTAATAATAAAGGTTCAGGGCTTTCCTGAGTTTTCCTTTTCATTTTGCCAGTCTGTTTTCTAAAACACTTACCATGAAGGTTGAAAATCAGATGTGACATAGCATAAGCAGTTGAATTTGCTATGGGACAATTTCTACAGGACTGTAGGCCCTTCCTCCCCTCAAATGCATATGTGTGTGCATGCACATGTGCATATTACACAAATCTGACATAGACAATATTTTTTAAAAGCATGTTTGTCTCCTGTCCTGGAGGCATACTTTTCCAAACAATGGCAGGAAATTGCTAAATCTGGGCATACTATAACTAATGGTGGATTTTGGGGTGAAAAACATGCCCCCCAAGCCTTTTGAGGATGGTCACCTTTGCTGTACAAAAATTGGGCTAGCTGGGAAATTCTGAATTCTGTAGTCCACAAAAATAATGTTTTCAAGCTCTGTTTGTGGGCTATTCACTAAAAATGTAGACATTAATGCCCCATTCCAATGACAAGTGCAGAGGTGGGGCCAGCACTTCTGGTAAGCAGACCTCACAGAAATGTTAAGAAGCCAGTAACAAGATGTTCAGTGAGGTAGAAGTAGCAGGAGAACAAGATGTTCAGTGAGGTAGAAGTAGCAAGAGAGTATAAAGGTTCCCCTTGACATTCAGTCCAGTTGTGTCCGACTCCAGGGTGCTGTGCTCATCCCTGTATTAGTCCAGTCATGTCCTACTCTAGGGTGCTGTGCTCATCTCTGTCTCCAAGCTGGAGAGCCAGCGTTTGTCCATAGACATTTTCCATGGTCACGTGGCCAGCACAACTAGACACGGAACACCATTACCTTCCCACCGTGGTGGTACCTATTTATCTACTCGCATTTACATGCTTTCGAACTTCTAGGTTGGCAGGAGCTGGGACAAGTGATGGGAGCTCACTCCATCGCGTGGATTCGATCTTATGACTGCTGGTCTTCTGATCTTGCAGCACAGAGGCTTCTGCGGTTTAACCCGCAGCACCACCATGTCCCTGCAGGAGAGTATACTTCAAGCTAATTCCCTGCTCCTCTTTCAAAAAAGCTGATTTGGGGGATTTTAATCATTTTGAAAGGACTCCATGAGCACAACCTCACCTCTCCAGTGTGAAAAGGTAATCACAGTTAGAGGATCAGTAAATACATACTAATTCCCCATGTACCTAAGAAGCCTTTTGCTGTTATAGTTATTAAATATTCAGAAAGAAGGCCAGACTTTGCTTTTTCTAGATTGCTTTCCTGCCCCTCCTGAACTTGAAATGCTTTATCCAATTTATTTAATTTGTCTCAGCTTCTGTTAGGCTAAAACAGAGTGCCCTGCCCAATTTTGTCAGGTTTAAAGCCCCAAAACAGGTAACTGTAAAGGACAATACTAGTCTTTTATAGCAACAATATTTGTTCAATTCAGAGTTATGACTTCAAAAATCCATGCACAGTGACTTGTTAGTTTTCAGCTGATGCAGGTGAGGGCAACAAGTTATATCACAACAAGAAAGCAAACTGTGAAACAAGGTCTTGCCCCTGACTTGAAATTTCTCTGTGACTACTCCCAAAGTCTGCAGCTCTTTCCCAACAAAACCTGGGTTTGTCCTCTCTCTGCTGCCCTTCTGCAGAGCTTTGGAACAGGGTTTTAAATAAAAATCTGGGTTTCTCTCTCTCTTTTTAGCAAACTGGTATTTAGTATTTTCAATAACAGAGATGTCAAAACTTTTAACTGTATTTTAAAAATGCAATACAGTAATACAATTAAAATACAATACAATTCAGCAATGGCTGAAATCCTGTTGCCAAAAGTTATGCTGTATAAGGCTGGTTCTGTCATCAGGCACAGTAGTTCTTCAGAAATTTCAGAAAATTACTGATTCTTTCCCCTTACAGAATGTCCCAACAGTCCTTGCATTGTGGGGAAGCCATTAGGGGCAGTGGACATGGAGGGACACTCTTTAATTTCCAAAAATCAATGCAACCTGTAAAATCATCCTTCCACTGCAATTCTCAGAAATGTAATTATCTCCCTCCTTGTTCTGTAACAATTTCCTCACAATGCAAGAGATCCCAAGGGACATCCCCCCAAGGACTTTCAGGGGGCTGAGAATCAGAAACTTTTAATTTCCAGCTTAAGTTACACTACTGGTTTTCAGCCAATGAATTTAATTCTATTTTAATATTTGGAACGTATGCATTTAAATTCTGTTCCATATTAACTACACTGTAAGCTATATCACAACATAGTTAATATAAACAATATAGTTCCAAGAGAAAGGTGGCATATGAATGACATTTTGAAAACAGCATTCCTCTTATATTGCACCTCCTTGTTTAGGTCATTATTTCCGACCTGAGGAACCTGCATTAATGACTATGCCAATCTTACCGTATAAATACAAGTTTGACCTTTAATGGCGCTGTCTTAATTATTGCAGAAGCATTCTGATGACTTCTCCCATACAAGATCTGGTTATTTATCTGTTTCAGAAAGAAAATTAAACACAGTTACAAATTAAAAAACAGCAAAAGGTTAAGCAGTGTTTCGTGTTTTGAGTATACTATCTGCAACACTCAAAATAACCTTCTCCTATCTTATTTTAATTTTTTTTTAGACACTAGCTAGAATAAAATGAAGCAAAGCGTGGATGTTATTTCTTCCTTGAAAAACTGGATTTTTCAGCAGGGCTATATTAGCTATTCATCTGAATAATGGTGGTTATCAGTTGGAATAATTATGCCATGGTAACAACTTTGAGAGTAAGATGAATTGCATAAACACAGTTTGTGACATGTACCATTTCAAACCAAGCTACAGAGCAAATTAAACAGATAAAAGTGGCAAACACTGTAGCATGGAGGAGATATAAATCTTATTTCCTGTGAACCTATTACGGTGCTAAATCATATCAATTTTACCTTACATTACTCTTTCGCTTTCAAAAGTTCAGATTTGTATTCTGCAAGAGTCTTTTTGAAGCATAACCACATTTTTAGTAAGACAGTGTTCAAAAATGCTGTTGTCGTTGTTTAGTCGTTAAGTTGTGTCCGACTCTTCATGACCCCATAGACTAGAGCACATCACTGCCTCCCAGAGTTCGGTCAAATTCCTGCTAATAGCTTTGATGACACTATCCAGCCATCTCATCCACTGTTGTCCCCTTCTCCTCTTGCCTTTACATTTTCTGAGCATCAGGGTCTTTTCCACGGAATCTTCTCTTCTCATAAGATGGCCAAAGTACTAGAGCCTCAGCTTCAGGATCTGTCCTTCCAGTGAGCACTCAGGATTGATTTCCTTCAAAATATATAGGTTTGTTCTCTTTGCAGTCCAGGGGACTCTCAAAAGTCTCCTCCAGCACCACAATTCAAAAGCATCAATTCTTCGGCGATCAGCTTTCTTTATGGTCCAGCTCTCATTTCCATACGTCGCTACTGAAAAAACCACAGCTTTGACTATGCGGACCTTTATCGGCAAGGTGATGTCTCTCCTTTTTAAGATGCTGTCTAGGTTTGTCATCACTTTCCTCCCAAGAAGCAGGTAACTTTTAATTTCATGGCTGCTCTCACCATCTGCAGTGATCATGGAGCCCAGGAAAGTAAAATCTGTCACTGCCTCCATGTCTTCCCCTTCTATTTGCCAGGAGGTGATGGGACCAGTGGCCATTATCTTAGTTTTTTTGATGTTGAGCTTCAGATCATTTTTGGCACTCTCCTCTTTCACCCTCATTACAAGGTTCTTTAATTCCTCCTCACTTTCTGCCATCAGAGTGGTATCATCTGCATATCTGAGGTTGTTGATATTTCTTCCAGTGACCTTAATGTTACAGTGGGATGTGGGACATAATCAGCCCATAGTAATGTTGCTACTATATACAGTGAGTGGCAGGAGGCCATAGCCTTGAGAATTGAAAAGTTCAGCATGCAACTTACTAATGGATTGTTTATGATCCCAACAGGTACACATGGGAATTACTCATTTTAATAGGCTGTGTTTCTTTGGTTCAATGTTCCTAACTTTCTTTTCTAATTAAGTTGGATTTGCTTCGTCATCTGAACTGGTTTCCCTTCTACTCCTTCTGCCTAAGAATCATCCTTTATTAAATTTCAACACTCTACCTCCCCCAAGAGACTCACTCTCTTAAATGCAGCTGGAGTACATGGAATTGCTTTTCCCGTTGCTTCTGTGGAATCAAAGCTTGTCGTAGATGCTGCTTTTAAGAATCTGGTATAATTCCTCTGTGTATTCTTGCCACCTCTTCTTGATGTCTTCTGCATTTGTTAAGTCCCTATGATTTTTGTCCTTTATCATGTCCATCTTTGAACAAAACATTCCTTTGATATATCCAATTTTCTTGAACAAATCTCTGGTTTTTCCCTTCTTATTATTTTCCTCTATTTCTTTGCACTGCTCATTTAAGAAGGCCCTATTGTTTCTACTTGCTATTCTTTGGAAGTCTGCATTCAAGTTTCTGTAACTTTCCCTATCTCCCTTGCATTTTGTTTCCCTTCTCTTCTCTGCTATTTGTAAGGCCTCATTGGACAGCTAATTCGCTTTCTTGCATTTCATTTTCTTTGGAATGGTTTTTATTGCTGCCTCCTGTACAATGTCACGAGCCTCCATCCATAGTTCTTCAGGCACTCTGTCCACCAAATCGGGTTCCTTAAATCTGTTCTTCACTTCCACTGTGTATTCATAAGGGATTTGTTTTTTCCAGTGGTTTTTCCTACTTTCTTCAGTTTAAGCTTGAATTTTGCTATAAAAAGCTGATGATCAGAGCCACAATCAGCTCCAGGTCTTGTTCTTGCTGAATGTATAGAGCTTCTCCATCTTTGGCCACAGAGAACATAATCAATCTGATTTTGATATTGCCCATCTGTTGATGTCCATGTGTAGAATTGCCTCTTGTGTTGTTGGAAAAGAGTGTTTGTGATGACCAGCTTGTTCTCTTGACAAAACTCTATTAGCCTTTGCCCTGCTTCATTTTGAACTCCAAGGCCAAACTTATCTGTTCTTCCTTTTATCTCTTGACTCCCTACTTTAGCATTCCAGTCCTCTATAATGAGAAGAACATCTTTCTTTGGTGTCAGTTCTAGAAGGTGTTGTACATCTTCATAGAATTGATCGATTTAATCTTCTTCAGCATCAGTGGTTGGTTCATAAACTTGTATTACTGTGATGTTGAAAGGTGTGCCCTGGATTTGTATTGAAATCATTCTATCATTTTTGAGATTGTATCCCAGTACAGCTTCTCCCACTCTTTTGTTGACTTCAGTGTTTCTTCAGTGTACATTCACACAAATCTATCATCCTGGCAGCACTCTGTTTAAAATATGATTTCACTTTGATGTGTTTTCCCTTACAGAGCTAGTGCATGCAAACAACTTGAACAATCATTTTCTGTAATTATTACAAATGGGATTGGCATTATAAAATCCAAAGGAACAGCTATTTTTAGCAGAATCTTGTGCTTCTCAAAAGGAAACTCCCTTGAGTTCAAGGGCTCAGCGTATGTCATTATCATAGCACTATACTAGTATAGTAGTGTTTGATGCAATTAACTATCTTATTTATTATAGAAGATTTAATGAGTCACTGTATCAAATGCATGGGGAATAATAAATCTAAGAAACCGAGTAATTTAGAATTTTCCAGTGATAACAAAAGTCAGGAAATGATATTGAAAATAGGGAAGTATATGAAGCACACACATGAAAAGAGGCTGCTGACGAAGCATTAATACAAATGCAGAACACCCTTTTGTTTTTCTATAAAGAGGCTGCTGACGAAGCATTAATACAACAGCAAATGTAGAACGCCCTTTTGTTTTTCTACCAAGTAAAATCAGTTCCTTGATTTGTCTAACCTTTTCAACGCTGCTTATTCATGCAAGGTAGCTTGGCTGGTGTCAATTTAAGCTCATTTTACCTTTATTGTACTGCATCCATTTTTGTGCGAAGGATTAAGCCAAGGCAACATCATTCTCCCATTTAACATACCTAGAATTGGCTGATTCTAAGTGAATGGGTACAAAAAGTAAAGCAGGGAATTCAAGCTGTGTTTTCATGACCTAAATCCATGATCCCATTTGCAAACAGCCCAAAATATGACGACAAGATGGCCACACAATGCTAATTTAACAAATGGATTATTTATATATGGTGGGTACTTGAACTTAAACTATTGTCCTAGCACTTCATTTGACTATCAGTAAACCACTGCAGGAACAGCTGGCAATTCTTCCAGATTGGAAGGTTTTCTGAAGAGCTTGCCCTTTTCAAGATTTCTTCATAAGACTCCATTTTTAAAACCTACATTTCTTTACGGTAGAGCTGTTTGCCAATTCCAAGACAGTCTGCAACAGAAACACATAGATGAGGTATCTATTTCGGTTCCAACTCAATACGGAAGCTGCAGAGGGTTTCCGGCTTGGAGGTGAAGGCCAGTAAAAGCCAGGAGTACAGATTTATTTTTAAGATACCATCTCCCACTTTCTACAGAACACTGGTTATGATTTATGAAGTCATATCATGGTTCTTCTGGAGGAGGACTCATCCATTCAAAAGCTTCTCTAGTGATAAGCTTAACCTCCTGAGGCTGGCAAGAAGGTGATTGCCTTTGCAGATGTGGATCCTCAAAGGTGTAAGAGACTGCACACCAAAATGAACAAGAGGAGGCTGGCCCTTTCCATTCTGCATGAATAACATTGAACGAAACTCAGCTCAAGGCTACCAGGTAAAGTGCTTGGCTGCAGCAAAGGATTCCACTGGAATTCCTTCCAAGTGACTTCTTTGGAGCTATGGATCTGTTCAAGAAGCATTACCCAAAAAGCCTGGTTACTGAAATGCCTACAGATGAGTAGGTCCAGGCAGTTCAGCAATACATATAAACCTTGGAGATCAAGGCAGCATGTCTATTAGCTAGACTCTGTTACATAACTTTGCTTTGCCTTTTGCTTCTACTTCTAGATTGAAATACTAGCTGGCTTGCCTATGTCTGTATATAACTTTGCCCTCAAACATGAACCATTAAGATCTTAATACTGAGACCAAACTATTCAGAATACAGCAGAACACATTAGAAGAAGCGGAATACTGTAAGACTTGGGACTTGGGCATTTAAAATACCATATTATCGCTTATGAGTCTGCTAAGATTTTAAAATCTGTCTGGTTTTATCACTCAGCTCCACCACTTCTGAGGCACATTTAGTAGGTATGTGGGACATGGCTGTCTTGGTAGCCACTCACATGTTTTGGAAGTCCTTGCCAAGAGATGCTGGCCTCTCCCGTATGATGTTTCCTTATAGCAGGAAAAATACTTTTAAAAAATGCAGATAGGCCTTCAGCATTTACCTGAGCTTGTTGTTGTTGTTTAATCGTGTCCTGAGCTCATAGGGGGCTCTTAATTTTTACTAATGTTGTTTTCAATTGTTTTCAGAATTGTTTTAGGTTTTATTTCTTTTCTTTTTTTAATAGGAAGTCAATTGTTATAAGGTGTCTCTAGTGACTTCTTGGGACAGGAAGGTGGGATATAAAATTAATGAATAAGTTATTTTACTAAACCCTATGTACAGTATGCTTTCCCTCAAGGTATCTCTATCTCTAAATGCCTAAGGCCAGAGTCTTAGAATTCAGGTAATGGCAATGTCATGAGCATCTGCCCCACAGATTCCCTTTCATATGCCTAGACTTGCATAGGTTGCAAACCTAGCTGGAACATGTGGCGGCCGAGACCCTGCCAGAGGAGAAAATAAATGGAAACACATGGAAAGAACCAACAGGATTTCAGCTTAAACGACCAGATTGCTTAGCCCTTTCTGGCACGCTTCACAGAAACAAACTGTGCTAACTCTAATGCTAAAGTTTGCTGATCTAGCAGTCTAATTATGAGAAACATCCTGTCAACTGAAAGGGAGGGAAAGCCAAGCTCAAGAGAGAAAGGTAAACAAATTACCAGTTAAGGTAAATTATGAACAATGATTAAAATAAAACTTTATACAAAGATACACTTAGTAACAGTACCCAGTGTAGCGTATTGGATAAAGCGATGGATTAGAATTCAGAAGAGCTGGGTTCAAATCCCCACTCATCCATTGCAACTCACAGGGACGGGGCGGGGTTGGCATTGGTTAAGTCACTCCTTAAATATTTCGCTAACCTTGAAAGCTCTATTAGGGTTACTATAAACTGTCAGCTTTATAGCCTATAATACATACAGTCTTAGTAAGTAACAAATTTTTAAACAAGACTGACATCATAACTATCTTACAGAAAGTGGATGCGGTACATTGGGTAGTGAAAGCTGTGAGATGTAAGGAAGAGGAAATTATAGTTGCATATCACAATATGCGCTAAGGGATTTTCTCTAGAGGATTGATCGATTGATTGATTGATTATTGTTGTTGTTGTTATAAAACATTTTCAGCTAAGATTAACCCTTGACTCCTAACAATTTGCTTGTCCTTTTCCACCCAGATAATTTACACTGCAACTATGTTTTAAGTTGATCAGATTTCATTAATGTAATCATTTCCTCCTAAAAAATAACTGAGTTAATATTTCTGCAAACAAAAATTAATTTTATACAACCTCAACAGATAAGCTAGGGATTTAAAGCTGTGTGCTTTAATTACTTAGTTATTTTTTTAAAAATGGAAGAGTGTCCAAAGTAATTTCCTGTGCTTTTTGATCATCTTGTGTAGCCCTCCTTCTGCAAGGGAATATCTTCATTCTCTTCTATAAACTGTCAACTTTATAGCCTATAATACATATAGTCTTAGTAAGTAACTGATCATCTTGTGTAGCCCTCCTTCTGCAACGGAATATCTTCATTCTCTTCCCATCCTCTTCCTTTTCAAAGGGGACAAGACTGACATCATGACTATCTTACAGATAGTCTTATGCTAAATTAGTGTATTCAGATATCACTACGATAACAGATTTGCCAGAGTCCAACCAATACAGAAATGCTCAGCACCAGCAATAGAGGGAGGAACATTCCATGGTGAGAGTGGATTACATGTGCTGGAGCTCTCAGAGTGTCGTTCTAGTACTTCAGGTGTAACAACCAACATGCATGAAACATTTCTTCAGAATGCAGAACAGCCTTTTCTTCCCCATCTTCAAACAGGAGATGTCATGTTAAGAACTGTTTATGATTCTAAACAGAATGTTCAAAATGGATTTTGAAAAATGAAAGGGCAGAATCCCAGACCTTGGAAAACATTACACAGAATCATAGAACACTCAAGTTGAAAAGTACCCTAAGAGTTATTCACTAAAGCAAAGTGTGCTGCTTACATACCGCCCCATAGTGCTTCAAGCACTCTCTGGGCAGTTTACAAGTTAATTATGCAGGCTATACATTGCCTCCCTCCGGTTTAATTATGCAGGCTACACATTGCCTCCCCCCGGTGAGTTGGGTACTCGTTTTACTGACCTCAGAAGGAGAGAACACTTGAGCCAGCTACCTGGGATTGAACCCCAAGTCGTGAGCACAGTTTTGGCTGCAGTACAGCAGTTTAACCACTGCGCCATGAGTCCTGCTATAGCGTCCCTAATACAGCAGTTTAACCACTGCACCATGAGTCCAGCCTCCTGCTATAGCGTCCCTAACAGATTACCATTCAACTTCTGTTCAAAAACCACCAAGAAAAGACTTCACTTTCTACGGCAGCCTTTTCCCACTGTCTAGTCATCAGAAAATTCTTTCTAATGTTTAGTCAGAATCTCCTTTCTTGTAATTTTGATTTCAGCTTGCTAGTTTGGGTCTTATGATCTGGAGCACCATAAAAAAAACAAGTTTATTCCATCTTCCTCTTAGGAGCTCTTCACATATCCGAATACAGCCACTATATCACCTTCCAGTCTCGTTGAGTTAAATGATTCAGCTCCCACAATGTTCATTATGGGACTTGATTTCCATGACTTTTTACCACCTTGGTTCCCCTCTTCTAAACATAATCAATAATGCATTACATTTTGAGTTAATGTTAGTAAAACTGTGTTCGTTTAAACAGAACATAACATGCGCTAATGGTGTTGCTCCTTCATTTCATTTTCTCTTCTCTTCTTATCTTTTCAGTATAACAACTTGCTACACTAAAACAAATATGAAAATAATCCTAAACTCAACCTGTCTACCCAGTTCTTCTTTGCTCTTGCTAACCTCATCTGAGGTCAGCATTCATATTAAACGATATGCAATTTTAAAGTTTGAATCCATTTAATAATTCTTTTAAAAGCAATGGTCTCTGCTTTAAAAGTGATGCCATTACTGTAGTTTAAAACCTTATAATTCGACAAGTCCATACTTTTAGTGAAACATGAAATGTTACAGGAATCCAGGATTATGTCAAATCTATTTGTCATATTTGGCAATGTTATTAGCAGTGCCACTGATTAAAGGAATTATGTCAAATCTATTTGTCATATTTGGCGATGTTATTAGCAGTGGCAAATTGCCACTGATTAAAGGGTTCCTTTGGCAATTTTGATGCACATGCAACTTTGTTGCATTGTGTAGGGGTCTTGTACACCCTTAAATAATTTTTGATCAGCTGTGATTTCCCACTGATGATGGTGTCCTCACTACTACATGTCTGGAGCCACTGAACAAGATTTCAGCCATTATCTCTAAACAGAATTAGAATCCCCAACAAACCTCATGCATTTACACAAGAGTATGTTCAAATAAATGACTCCCAACACTACCAGTCATGAGACACTGTGCTGCTAGTCCAACTGTTCATCCTTAACAAAATTTCATTTGCAGAAAGAAGACAGAAGCAATAGAAAAACGATCCTTAACAAAATTTCATTTGCAGAAAGACAGAAGCAATAGAAAAACATTGAATCTATTTGTAAAAATCTGTGAATAAGGGGGGACAATAGTACAATAAAAGCCTTGCCTCAAAGTAACCAGATTCTTTAGCGGTGCGTCTCAATAATGTTGTTGATGGGCTGGGAGGTAAGTCACAGGATCTAATATGCTCCCTCGGGGAGCTTGGCTACTTAGCCACACCTGTTTTTTGGAATGAACAACACAATCTTTAACTAGCTTTCCAATTTTTAAAGAGAACCATTTACCTCTAAAAGTTCATCTCCAGTGCGCATTCTTCCATCTTTTCCTGCAGGACCATCTGGATTGATACCAACAACAAAAATGCTCATGCGAGACCTATCCTTGTTGCCGGCCAGGCTGAGTCCAAGTCCATTCTTATCCTTCTCAAGCTCAATAATGTGCAATTCTCCAGGCAGATCTGCATATCTTTGTCGGATTTTCTCTAAAATAATAAATAAATAAAGAGAAGCAAAACATGGAGCTATTTAGAATCAAATGCTACAGTTTCTTACATTTCCTTTTCTTGTTTGGGAATTTAATTCAAAGCAATACTCAAAAGGTACCCATACGGGGGCCCGGGGGGGGAGAGTTCTGCATATTTCAACTAATCATCATTTTAAAGCTAATTCATTTTGCTGATTCCTACTGATTCATTTGAAATATGGTATTGGAGGAGAGTTGAGGATACCCTGGACTGCCAGAAAGACAGCAACAAACAAGTGAGCCCTAGATCAAATCAAGTCTGAAGTATCCCTGGAGGCAAAAAGGTTGAAACTGAGGCTGTCCTACTATGGGGACATCATGAGAAGGCAGGGTTCTCTGGAAAAGACAATAATGCTGGGAAAGGTGGAAGGCAGCAGGAAAAGAGGGAGACCAAACATGAGATGGGCTAACTTCCTAAAGGAAGGCTTGGGTTTGCAAGAGTAAAGCACAGCAGTTGAGGACAGGACGTTTTGGATATCACTCACTGAAAGAGTCGCTACATGTTGGTGGCAACTTGACAGCACATAAAAGAACAGCCAATTCAATAGGTCACATATACTAATAGGAAGCTAATTCTGTGCATACCACTCTTCCCTAAGGAGGTAAAGAATATTCAGTTTTTTCACATCCTCAATAGAAAAGTGTCTCAACAAAACAAGATGTGCCAGTGTAATCGGGTTCTGTTATCACTCACTGAAAGAGTCGCTACATGTTGGTGGCAACTTGACAGCACATAAAAGAACAGCCAATTCAATAGGTCACATATACTAATAGGAAGCTAATTCTGTGCATACCACTCTTGCCTAAGGAGGTAAAGAATATTCACAGTTTTTTCACATCCTCAATAGAAAAGTGTCTCAACGAAACAATATGTGCCAGTGTAATCGGGATCTGTTTCTGATTTGGGCAACTCCTCATTTGGCGCGGAAAATAAAACTGGAGACATTTTAACTGTACTCTTATCTTTGTCTTTATTGGTTCCATAATTTTCAACGTTACTCATAATTGGATTGAAACAGGTTAATTCTGGCAACAGGCCAGAACTTGGGGATGTAAATTCCCTTGCAAAGTCTAACGAGTTCACTGGGGGGCTCGGCCAAATCATTCCTGGTCCGTAGGTCTCTGGAGAGGGGTGCTCCACACTGCGCAGATGGTGCCGCAGCATGGATGCCAGGCCCTGTCACCTTCTCTCGGGGGTGGGGTGGGGTGCTGAATCTCTTGTCAGGACAAATTACTTGTTTCCCTCAGCCTTGCCCTTTTGGAAACACAATAACTGTCCACTCTTGAGTCTCAAATGTTGTCTCGCCTTCCGTCTTAAGTGGGGGGTCTGGCAGCAACCCACCCACCTTTGAACTGGGGAAATATCTGAGTAATTCTTGGCTTTTCTTTTATTCTAATTCCACGCACCTCTCCTCCTCTCTCTTTCTCATCCAGTTCTCTAATTCTGCCCCGAACCAATGCTCTTCCTGCTCATTTATACTTTCCTCCCACACTGTCAGTTCTTGCTCCTCCCCTTTTCCTTTTGTGCCTTCCACACTGTCAGTTCTTGCTCCTCCCCTTATCCTTTTGTGCCTTCTTCACCTTTTTCTCTTCTGACACCATTTCACTTTTCCCCACCATTATCGCTGGTTCTTTTCCACTCTCTTTTACAATATTGGTCTCATTCTCTTCAATTACAGCCTCAATTACCACGGATGGCACACTCTCAGTCACTCCTCCTTCACAGCCAGAAATATGATGTGGACATATCCAGTGATGACCTCTTTTTTAGGTGTATTAATGCAAATTAATCTCAGAAAAATCCACTATAAGTGTGTTTAAGCATATCCTTTTAAAACACATTACCTACTCTTTTGGACACATGCTCATTTTACATTAACATATGTGCTTAATCCATGATTAGATTACATTTTGCATATCCTTTTTAATTTTCTTTTTCCCTCCCTCTTTCTTCTTTCTTTCCCTTTGCCATCAATAAATGAACTTTATTATTTTTAAAAAGGAATTCATTTAAACTATATTTTGATACTATGAATTATTTTAGCACTCCCTTTCATCTCTATTGTTTCTTAAGGATAAACCACTGAAAAAATGATAACAGCAATCAGAATTTTCACTTCTACACAACAGTGAAATTTTTCATAATCAGCAGCATTTTTTTTAAAAAAATGCATGAAAAATGTATATATTTTTGCAAAAAACTTGTATTTTGCAGAAAACGTTGGACTCATGCAGTAGCTTATCCTCCAGGTGGTTGTGCTTTTTTATATTTTGCACAAGGGCAAATTTAAGTAGAAACTCTGTCGCTACAATTGAGATTGTGAACTGGGGCTGGTCAGAGGTATCACATTAACCCCCCTTTACAGCAGCTCCGTTGGCTGCTGATCTGTTCCCAGGAACAATTCAAAGTGCTATTTCTAACATATAAAGCCTCAAACAGTTTAGCTCCAAGCTATCTCAAGGACTGTGTCTCCCATTAGAAGCATGCTCGAGTGTTAAGATCATCAGCAGAGACCTTTCTCTTGGTCCTACCATCTTCGCAGGTGCATTTGGTGCAGACACAAAGTCAAAAGAGAGAGAACTGTGGATGCTCAGTAATCACAGAACACTGAGCTGGGGAGGAAGAAATATAGAATGGTACATCCTAAAGAAAAGGATGCTATGGTGGCCTACAGGCATTGTTGAGTGTGTATGGAATGGCATACTTCCTACTTTTCTTTTTAGCACTCTGAACAGCCTTCAAGCCATTACGTGAAAGTAGCATCCATGAACAGTACATGGTGAAAGTAATTAATCCCATCAAAGAAATAAAATGAAGCCATAAATAAAATGGGGCCATAAACACACACTGTTGTTAGAACTACCATTCTGTGGGTAGACTATGCTGGCAGTACAATGTTATCTATGAATAGTGAATGTTGCCATAGCAACAGCAGACTGAGGAGGAACCTGGCAGAGGAGACACTATCAAAATAGAGAAAAGAACAGATGATGCTGTCACTACACAAGTCACTGAAAGTTGAAAAACTAAAACTTCATTTACAATTTGAAACTTAACACACGATTAGTCTGCGTCTTTCATGCCCAGAGAAAGCAAAATGTAACCTTATATAAAAAAAGAATTTGCCTATTTTTAAAAATTCAAGGCATCAACTATAGTACAGTAGCTCCCGTATCCATGGTTTCAGTTATCCACAGTTGCCATTGCTGCAGACCAAGCTGCAGTGAGCACATACACTTTACCTCCTTCTCTCACCTTTCCCCCTCCTCTCACTGTCACCCATTCTCTTTAATGGGTTCTCTCAGGTGATTGTGCATTAGAAACCTACAGGTGGTTCAGGTGATTGTGCATTAGAAACCTACAGTGCCTGTAGGGCAGTTGTCATCAAATGAGTTTTGGAAGGCAGCAACGTATGGAAAAGGGCTTTTAGCCTCGGCAACCTGTACTTTGCTATGAAATGTTGTCAGCACCAAGACAGCTACAAAGCTCGCTATCCTTTCATTTCATACACTATTTGTTTTAATTAGATAATTGTGCAGCAAGCTTGGGTTTTATGTCAGTGCTTCTAATTTCAAAGAAATATGGGGCCACTTTACCTCCTTCTCTCACCTTTCCCCCACCTCTCACTGTCACCCATTCTGTTTAATGGGTTCTCTCATACCTGTGGTTCAGGTGATTGTGCATTAGAAACCAACAGTGCCTGTGGGGCAGTTGTCATCAAATGAGTTTTGGGAGGCAGCAACATATGGAAAAGGGCTTTTAGCCTTGGCAACCTGTACTTTGCTATGAAATGTTGTCAGCACCAAGACAGCTACAAAGCTCGCTATCCTTTCATTTCATACACTATTTGTTTTAATTAGATAATTGTGCAGCAAGCTTGGGTTTTATGTCAGTGCTTCTAATTTCAAAGAAATATGGGGCCATATCCAGCTCTATAGTCCTTGCTCTGAATCTTGTGAAAAATTTGGTGAAGCATAATGCCCTGTTTGTGCATTAAAGCAGGATTTATGACTGAACAAGCATTGTCCTTATGCAAGTGGCAATCCTTTTACAGTATTACTATATTTGTACAAAAAGATCTGGATTACTGTTTCGGAAGTGAAATGCTATGGCCATCGTGAAAGCAGTTTGACCGAACAACATATTGGTCATAGACTTTACTATGTCTACCACTGTGGTTCTGCTTAAGCAAATTTCCTCTTTGCTTCCTTAAATAGAATTATTTGCTTTGAAGGAACACCTCTGACAAAGGGCAGGAGATAATAACATTTGGTGATGTGTTTCACCAGGAGTAAAGATGGTCTAAAAAAGAAGGGATGATTACGGAGATGTCTCATCTTTTTTTTCCCCCATATCAGATGAGGGGAGAAGAGAGAGAAGGAGTGGAGCTTGTCTTTGTGTGTCTGTGCAGCATGAAGTCAGTCTATGAAAATATCACAGTCTGTGAAAATACCCCAACTTATTTTGGGAATCTGGAGTCCAGTCTAAGTAATATAGAATACCTGTGCAGGCCATTGTTATTTAGTCGTTAAGTCATGTCCGACTCTCCGTGACCCCATGGAACAGAGCACACCAGGCCCTCCTGTCTTCCACTGCCTCCCGGAGTGGATCAAATTCATGTTGATAGCTTCAATAGCACTGTCCAAACATCTTATCTTCTGTTGCCCCCTTCTCCTCCTGCCCTCACATTTTTCCAACACCAGGGTCTTTTCCAGGGAGTCTTCTCTCCTCATCAGATGGCCTCAGTTTCAGGATCTGTCCTTCCAGTGAGCACTCAGGCTTGATTTCCTTCAAAATGGATAGGTTTGTTCTCTTTGCAGTCCAGGGGACTCTCAAGAATCTCCTCCGGCACCACAATTCAACAGCATCAGTTCTTTGGCGATCAGCCGTCTTTATCGTCCAGCTTTCACTTCCATACATCGCTACTGGAAAAACCATAGCTTTGACTATGCGGACCT